TGTCCCTCCTCTGCCGCCCCGTGTGCAGACCTGCCTGCTGTGCCCCTACCTCCTCCTGCCAGCCCAGCTGCTACCGCCCAGCCTCCTGCGTGTCCCTCATCTGCCGTCCTGCCTGTCCCCGCCCGGCCTGCTGTGGCCTCTCCTCGGGGCAGGGGTCCAGCTGCTGAGGGGCACGTCCCCAGGGCCAGGGCCAGGGCTGCCCTGGAGCAGAACATCACATCCTGAATGGCCCAGCACCTTGATCGCTTCCGAAAGTCGTCTGGCCTGGTCTGCCGTTGAGCTGGACGAAGGCTGAGAACTACGTGTCCACACTCAATGCTGCCGCCCTCTGGGGTGGGGGCTCCTGGACAGTCCCCGGACACAGGGTCTTCTCCGTGTCTCCCACCCCTCGTGAGGCTCGGCTCGGCCCGATCCCTGGCGTCTCCACCCACCTGCACTCTGTCCCCTCCCGCCTCCTCCGGCTGCCCTGTGTGAACCGACAATAAAGCCCCGTGACTCTGCAGTCTCTGGTGTGCCGTGTCTCGATCCGGATCTCCCGGCCGCACCGCATGGCCACGTGAGAGCACGTGCTCACGCCCCGTGTGAGCAGAACACTCTCCTCGGCGCCTCTGGGCTCCGTGAGGCCCAGAGCAATCGGACTCGTTTGTCAGGGTAGGTGGTGGCTCGGCCCCGACAGCAGAGCACAGGTGCCTTGTGACCACAGTGCACACATGAGGCCGACGGGACGGCCGGGACACAAAAACACGGTGACGATTTGGGGGTCTTATAAGAAATCTTAAGGCCGGGCGCGGTGGCTCACGCCTATAATCCTAGCACTCTGGGAGGCCGAGGTGGGAGGATCACTTGAGCTCCGGAGTTTGAGACCAGCCTGAGCAAGAGCGAGAGCCCGTCTCTACTATAAATAGAAAGAAGCTAGCCACACAATTAAAAATAGAAAAAAAAATTAGCCGGGCATGGTGGCGGATGCCTGTAGTCCCAGCTACTCGGGAGGCTGAGGCAGGAGGATCACTTGAGCCTGGGAGTTTGAGGTTGCTGTGAGCTAGGCTAATGCTACAGCACTCTAGCCTGGGCAAAAGAATGAGACACTGTCTCAAAACAAAAAAAAACCCACTACAGATCTCTATACCTTATGAATATAGATACAAAAATTCTTAATAAAAAATTAGCAAACTGAATTCAGCAACATATAATAAGAATAATATTTCACAGTTAAATGGGTTTTTTTTTGTTTTTTTTTTTTTAAGCAATGACTCCTCAGAAGTTAAATGGGTTTTATGCTGGAGAATTTAGCTTGATGTTACATTCAAAAGCTGATCGCTGTGTTTCCCAATGTTAGCAGATAAAGGGACACAATCATGTGATCATTTCAACAGATGCAAAAATTAAAAATAATAAAACCCCAAACAAATAAACAAACACCTCCCAGCCAAGTAGGAATGAAAGGGAACCTGCATAGACTGAGTGCTCCCCCGAGACCAGGGGCAAGGCAGTGATGTCCGCCCCCCCAACTTCTACTCGACATTGCGCCCCAGGCCCTCAGCACGCACCAACGGTAAGAGAAGAAATGAAAGATCAGATAGGTCAGATCAAACCCACAGATCATGGAGACAAAGCGTATCTCTCTTTATTCACAGCTGACATAACCATGGACTTAGGAAACCCTAAGGAATACACAAAAAAATCTATTAGCGTTCATAAACGAAGTCAGCAAGGTCACAGGATTCGAGATCAATATACAATACCAAAGCAATTGTATTTCTACAGAGCAGCAACCAACAGTGGCTAATGAAGTACACATGCCATCAAGCAAAACATTAAAAAAGGAAAAAAAGAGATAAATTTAACAAAATATGTATAAAGACCTATACACTAATAACGTCAAAATACTACAGAAAAAGTGAAGGAAATCCTAAATGACTGGAGAGACGTATTCTGCTCATGGATCAAAAGATTCAATTATGTCAAATGTCAATTCTTTCCGAATTGATCTGCAGATCGATTTACTGCATCCCAATCAAAATCCCAGCCAGCCGGCTTTTCTGTGGAAATCAATGAGCTGATTCTAAAATCTATATGGAAATGTAAAAGACCCAAAGTAGCCAACCAATTTTAAAAAGCAAAAACAGAAATTGAGAACTAACACTACTTGGTTTCAAGATTCAATTTACGGCTGGATTGACAGAGGCAGCATGTGGCAGGGAAGCTGGAACAGAACCGGGAGTGCAGAAATAGCCCGAGGACGCCGCCAGCAGGTTTTGACAAAGGCCATTCCGTGTACAAAGGACAGACTTTCAACAAGCGACCCAGGAACAACTGGCAGGATGTTTTAAAATTAACTTGAAACGGATTATAGAACGAAACAAAAGTTAAAACCATAAGACATCCAGAAGGAAGCATAGGAGAAAAGTTGCGTGACTTTGCATTTACGCGAAGATTTCTGAGGACCATTGAAGAAAAAATGATAAATTGGGCTTAGTCAAAGTAAAAAATTCAGCTCTCAAAGAAGCACTGTTAAGAAAATTTGCAAAAGCTGGCCACAGATGGAGATGTGTGAGAAAAACTGGCATCTGGAATCTATAAACAATATTTAAGGCTGGGCGCGGTGGCTCACACCTGTCATCCTAGCACTCTGGGAGGCCGAGGTGGGCAGATCGCTCAAGGTCAGGGGTTTGAAAACAGCCTTAGCAAGAGGGAGACCCCGTCTCTACTAAAAATAGAAAGAAATTAATTGGCCAACTAAAAATATATGGAAAAAATTAGCCGGGCATGGTGGCTCATGCCTGTAGTCCCAGCTACTCGGGAGGCTGAGGCAGGAGGATCGCTTGAGCCCAGGAGTCTGAGGTTGCTGTGAGCTGGGCTGACGCCACGGCACTCTAGCCCGGGCAACAGAGTGAGACTGTGTCTCAAAAAAAATAATAATATTTAAAACTCAGCGGTAAGACTAGAAACAACCTGATCTAAGAAAAACGGGCAGAGGCTTAGAACAGCCACCTCACCGAAGACCACGTGGGAGAACCCTCGTGGCGAGAATAGTCCCCGGGCCACACCCAGGGCTGCAGGGAGACGGCCACCCCGGGTGGGAACGCGGCCACTGGGGCAACAACTGGAGCTTTGCTGTGAAGTCAGACACGTGCTTACCGTCTGCCCAGCGACCCTACCATTGGTGTTTACCCGGGAGAAGTAAAAACATCTGCCCACACATTCCTGAGTGTGATTTGCGTGGCGGCTTTATTTATTCACACTCATCCGGAGCCGGCCCGGTGTACCTGCAGCTGGGTGGACAGCGGGCACACGTGGTCACGGGACCCCACCAGCCGTGAATGGCTGGAACAAACGGCAGGGACGCGACACAAAGCCACGCAGAGGCCGTGCTGCCTGGCCCTGTCCCGTGAGGCTCGAGCAAGGCTGAATCTGGCTCCAGGGCGGCCGGGGCTCAGCGTGTCGGGGGGCGGGAGGCCGGGAGGCTGTCAGAGCGATGGGAATGGTGCGTCTCCGGGCCTGGGCGGGGCTGCAGGACGGAGACCCCTGTCACAACGCTTCCAGCCACACAAGCAAGAGTGCCCGTGTCGAGGGTGCCTCAGCAGAGCCGACTGTGCACGCGTGTGGAGGTACAGGCTGGGGGTGAGGGGGCCGGGGGCCGGGCAGCAGGTGGGGAGACGCAGCCTGGGGGGGCTGGGGCCTCACGGGGTGCAGGGGTGCCCTTACCGGGTCCTGGCATGTACACGGGCCCCAGGGTGAGGGACTCTCTCCTGGTCCACGGGCTGAGGTGCGGAATCGTGGGGAGGGGGCCTTGACCACTGTGAGCTTTTCACTGTTGGGGACAGTGGTCCCTTCACTGAAACGGCTCTGGCCACCACCGTGGCCCCAGTACGTCCTCCTCCCTGTTCTCACCAGGGTCCGTGGCCGCCTGTGCCCCGTAGCAGCATCCTGACCCCAGAGCGGGCTGCTGTCCACGGCCCCGTGCTGTGCCCAGGCCCGGCGCAGTCCCGCGGTGGATTCCGGTCCCTTCCACCCCCATCCTCAGGCTGCCAGAGGAGGACGCCAGCAGCCCGTTTCCACCCCGTGACAACACCCTTCCTCGCACTCACGCTGCTATCTCCCGAGAACGGAGAGCAGCTCCTCCCTCTCCCGCCTCGGGGTCCACTGTGCGGGCAGCGCCATGGGCGGGACGCCCCAGGAGGGAGACCCAGGCCCGGAGGCCGTGTGCCCAGACCAGCAGGCGGCGGCCTGGGGGGCGACTCTGGGGGCTGGGGCTGCCCCGGTGGAACACGGCTGGGACGGTCCAGGGGGCCTGGAGGACCCCCAAGCCGGGAACTCCGGGGTGACCAGCCTTGGGGAGCCGGGGCAGGGCCGGGCAGGGACTGTGCCTTCCTGGGCGAGGCCAGAGTCCCGCCTGTGACACCAAGGAGAGAGGACACTGCACTGCGGTCTCTAGGTTGAGTCACTCATTCCTAGCAATGTCCCTGGCAGGAGGAGGCCACAGTCTGCTCAAATCCCTGTCCCCAACCCCACCAGCATCACAGGAGAAGAGAATCAGGGGTCACAGCGAGTTTATTGGGAGCCGAGAGGTGCTGACAGGCTCAAGTCAAGGCCACGTGACCCGCAGCAGAGACACTGGGAGGGAGGACAGGGACAGAGGGCAAGTGGGGCAGCCCCTGGGTGGCAGCAGGGGAGGTCAGGACAGCACAGAAGGGACGTGGGGGCCCCTCCCCAGGTGGGGACAGCCACCTAACCTGGGCCAGGACTGGACTGAGGGGCTGTGAGAGGCACAGGCTGGACCTGAGCCCTGGCCCTGGGGACGTGCCCATCAGCAGCTGGACCCCTGCCCCGAGGAGAGGCCACAGCAGGCCGGGGGGACAGCCGGGCGGCAGCAGGAGGACACGCAGGAGCCGGGCGGGACAGGCAGGCGGCAGATGAGAGACACACAGGAGGCCGGGCGATAGCAGCTGGGCTGGCAGGAGGAGGCAGGGGCACAGCAGGCAGGTCTGCACACGGGGCGGCAGAGAGGGACACGCAGGAGGCACGATCTGCCAGCAGGGGGAGGGGCGCAGGGGAGGAGGTGCAGCAAGCCGGCTGGCAGCTAGACGCTGGGAGCATGAAGAGGAGGCATCAGAGCACACGGGCTCACAGCACACGCGCTTGCGCAGCACACGGGCCACAGCACACG